ACAAGGTGCTTGAATGAAAATCCGATTAATAAATTAATCAGAGTATATCCCAACCTGAACAACATAGCTTTCAACAACGGCAACGTTTACGGGGCCAGCTAGTTTTTGATAAAACAAGTAAAAAATCTCTAGTCGACTACGAGATCCCCTGAACCCTTCGACCAACATATATTTCAATAATTTAATATTTGCATATAATTCACACAAGCTCTTTCAGACGCACACACACATATAATGGCACACACACACACACACGCATACACAACATACGCACGCACGCATAAACTCGCATTGGCGGCAGTGTGGGATTACTATGGTAAATTAATTGCTTAATAACTTTTCTTGTCGATCTTCATGGAACTTGCAGATTATGATTATAACATGAATATGTATACATTTGCCAAAGCGTCTCTAGTACGCGGGCTTACTGTGCAGCGACTGTGGTGCAGTGTCGGCAATATTGTGAGGATTGATTTGTTGAATAATTTCTAGACGTACAATCTTAATGAAACTTTCAGAACGTTATCATAATTTTCAAATGTATGTACATTCCAAAGCACAAGTCTGTAGTACTTGAAATACACCTTTAACAAATATGAATGTAAGGGGGTGGGTGGAGGTTAAATTTTGACATCAATCGAAATTGTCTAAAATGTGCCTTAATATATATTCAATCTAGCTTTAAAGATGTGTGAGATATAATTCTATAACAAATTTTCGATAAATTTTTTATCAATAACAAAATAAAGGGATGAGTTGTCGATTTTTAGTGATAAGCTCGATGGATGAAAATATGATAAGCTCCTTTTGCGTATGGTATACACGAGTATGCCTGCGAAATTTTGGCTTCGCTGTTTACCTCGCAGATACAGCGCGTACTTATGTGTGCGTGTGGATCCATGTGTATGTATGTGTGCTTTGGCTTGTTTTATTTATTTATTTTTCTTTTTGGGATAGTGAATTATTTTTATTTTAGCTACTAGTGTGAAATTAGTATAGTTCCTGCCGATGTTAGTTGTGTTATAACAATCTGACATTTTCCTGCGGTGCAATTTCGAAATCAATTGCTACGCAATCAATTAATTTAATCTTTTTATATCATTCTTGAATTTGTGTTTTTATACATAGGTCTTAAAAATGTGTCCTGCTGCTTAGAACTCCTATGAATATTATTTAAATATGTGGAGTAATCTAGATTACTAGATTAGCCATGCCCCATAAGTTTTACCAGTTCTTGGAACGTGGTTTCGCTAACTTAGCTATAAAATTTAAATGACTACGCTTCAAATAGGCTTTAATATCATTTTGTTTCTTCGTTAAGGGAGTTTATCAGTAGGTGCATTTTGTCACGCGCCCTATCATAAGCTTTAATTATACTCATTCACGAAAGCGAAATACAAACGAAAAAGATATAGTGTTTTGTCTGTTAGAATGTCCGTCTTGCTGCCTGCCAGTAAAATATTTCGAGGCTATTGAAGCTATAAACTTTATATTTCGAACATTATCATATATGACCTCGAGGATACAAATATAACAAACCCTATCATCCTAGAGTTACAAACTCCAAAGTTGCCACTTATGTTACTATAACTATCCAAAAGATATTAGAACAATTAATTATATATACATGTTTACTGTGGGCTTGCGAGATTTCGTGTTTGATTTGACTATATAGGGATTATAGCAAAAGTTGAATATTCGAAATTCGATATTTGTGTATACAAAAACATGCAGCGGACGGCGCCTAAATTTCACGCACCAAAAGTTACTCTCCGTTTATAAAGGAATCATAAAGGAAAATCATGTTGTGTACAAAAAATAAAAAGGATATAGTTATTATTTGCTTTATGCCATGTAATTAACTATAATACTTCATTGCACAAAATTAATTTTTGACTTGACCAAAATATTTTGTTTCAGATATTGACAACAACGGATTTTTAGATCAAAATGATTTTCTCTGTATGGCAGTTAGAGCCTGTGTTGTGGAAGGAAAAGGAGATTGCAGTGCTGCTCGTTTGGATGACTATAAAAAATTAATGAAGAATTTGTGGGAAGAGATATCTGCAATTGCTGATGATGATAAGGTAAAAGAGAGCTAATAACCCCCTTTTGCTGTTAACTGTTATACTCTGAACCCATTGAAAATGGGGAATCAGGGTATAATAGTTTTATAAAAATATGGCGTAACCTTAACCGTTATTTTTGTAAAAGGAGCATTTCAAATATTAGAGAATACTCGAAATACCTTGAACTCTTCGAAGAATTGATATTTCACAACAATTCTTCGCATATTTTTGCTTACAATATAAATAGACACACACACAGAAAAACATAGGGATGCAAGCATAAACGCATTGGCTGCAGTGTCTGCAGTTTTACTATGGAAAATTAATGGCTTAATAATTATTCTTGTTGATGGACAAAGTACAAGTCTCTAATATTTGAAATGCTCCTTTAACAAAAATAGCGGTTAGGGGATGGATATAGGGATGAGGGGTAAATTACAGTAAATTACAAGAAAATATATACTTTATGGTGTCTGCCACGCCGCCATCTATCTGTTACGTACTTCTAAAAAACCCCTGATTTCTCTTTTTTCTAATTTAAATATATAGACTAAAACAAAGAGATATAAAGTATTTGTACAAATGTAAATTAAATTATACAAAATTAAATGGAAATGTAAATACAGTCGAGTCTCGATAATTTCTTACCCCTCTAAATCGAAAACCTCATTATTTTATAAGATACTACTGGTCCCTTGAAAAACTTCCTTAATTCGTACAAATCCTATACATATTAACCCTTCGTTAATTCGAAGTTTCTCTGCCTACTCGGCAAAGATCTGACCTCTTGTAATTCGTAATGCCGTTAGGTCTCGCGGACTATTATACATAGTGCCTTTATGTCGAAATTTCGTTGTTCTCTCATTGGATTTACATTTGTTTGATCATTTTCAAGTCAAATTAATTTTCTCATAAAACACTATCAATTTCACAAAACAAGACATAATTTCAGCGATTGATAATTTAACGAAATTCGGAATTTCCCCATCAACATTAATTTCAATTTTTAACAGAAATGAATAAAGCGTAAAAAGCGATCTGAATATTCAAAAGAAGAAGCCTTTTTTTTTATTTTAATCTTAGTTTTTAGGTAATATGGTTTTGTATAAGTTTAATTTTGTTTTTAAATACATCATTATTTATTTATTATTTATTATTTATTTCTAATAAGTTAAAATTTTTAAACCACGTGAAATATAAAAGCTCGTTAAATTTGCATTTTGATTTTTTAAGCCCCGTTAAATGGAAAATCGGGTAATTCGAGAACCTCTGTAATTCGCAAATAATTCTTTTCCCTTGACATTTCGAATTATCGAGACTCGACTGTATAAAATGTAAACATATGATAAGCAAGCCGGGCCCTTAGAAGCCAGCGCTTTAGTTGTTAAATTAGCTCATAATTTTAATTTAAATTAACTGTAAGAAAACAGTTCTACCCGAAGGATATCAATGAGGTTCAGTTGTACCCTAGACGATCAGTTTCTGATCGTACTCATTATACATAGTCTTTCCAATAGTGAAATAAGTATATTTGTTTCGTGCGATGTTCGTCTGCTTTCTTTTCTGTAAATAGAAATATTAATATACTAAGCATTTGAAATATCAATTTAATAACATGAGATTAAAAAAAATTAGAGCGTTACGACTGCGGAATTTATTAATATCTTAAATAAACAATTTTATTTGTATAAAATATTTTTTAATTTCTATATTTGTATTACCTTTGATTTTGTTATATTGTAGGATGGAAAAATTTCAAATCAGGAATTCAAAGATGCTGTTAAAAAAACCTGCGTGGGAAAAAAATATGAAGAATTTCCACAGGTAAGAGTTATATACCTACCGCACTTCATCTTTAAAAGAAATAAATAATCTGTTATAATACTAGATTTGCTTTAATACTCATTATCAATAAATATTTGTAATGGAAAAATATTTTTGTTTAATTAGAATATGGTGAACAAAATACAATAATAATAATTTGTTGTATCCTTATTCACAAAGGGCAATCGCAAATTCTAAATATCAAACTATACGCCGTCTTCGCCACGTATTAAAAAAAAAAAACTGCGGAACATTCATTCACATCCCATCAGCAATTTAGTAGCCAAGTTTGGCTCTAATACTGTAGAAAATTCAAGTTTTCTCGGCTTTCCACGCCCCTACTGGGCGTAAACACTTCATTTTTGGCCAGCTCATAAAACATATAACCTAAATTCAAAATTTGAATTCTTACGCTAAAAGTGAAAATTACAGGGTATTTTTCGATATGCGACTAAAGAGGCGTAAAAATTATTTTTAGGACATCGATAATCTCCTCTTACTAGTAACCTATCTATCTATTTTGAGCTCTAGTTCTTAAGCTGTAGGAGATATAAACTTTTGCGGTTTGTGCGCAGATAAATCCATCATAAAATATAGCAGAATTTGAAAAATCACTATATCTTCAGGTCCGATTTGCCACTCCCCTATTAGGCGAAGATATTTAATTTTTCCACCACCCTTTAAAGCATCGAAATATTAGCTCACGTGCCGAATTTCAGCAAATTCTAGATTTACAACTTTGGGAGATACAGTTTTATCCGATTTGCCACGTCCCCAATAGGCAGGGATATATCCCCCATAGCTGGTGATCTTGGGTGGTCGACGCGGATCTACATACCAAATTTCAGCTTTCTAGCTCTTCAACTAACATGATTTCTGGTATATCGGAAAATGCATTTTCCGATTTACCACGCCCCTAAATCGGAGATATACACGAGTATATGTTCCAAATTTCAAGTCCTTAGCTTCAATAGCGCCGAAGTAGACAGCGTTCATACGGACAGACGGGCGGACGGACAGACGGACGGGCAGCAAGACGGATATTGCACAAAACCAATATACTCATTTAACTTTCGTGAATGAGTATAAAAAGTACTAGAGACTTTTGCTTTTCGCTTTACTTTTTATATTTAACAAAGCCATTATATCCTGACTCCCCATCGTCAATGGGTTCAGGTTACTGTCACTGTCAAATTGTCAGTTAGAAATTTGACTTTGTACCATCATCTATATATTATTTAGATTTGTGGTAGAAAACCACAAACAACATTTTTAATACAAATTTTGAAATATTACTGCGAGTTTCGTGAAATGTATCCAGGGTATCCAGGTTACGATGATGAATGATAAATCATGGTGATTTTAGTAGTAAACTTTATAAATATAAGCAGAATATGTTCCATTTGCTTCGAGCAAATATTTTGTATATCGTATTTTGCAATTGAAAAACATAAGAACAATAAATATATTTGACTTATTTAAAGGCTATGCGAGCATTCATTGAATCCAATTTCAAATTGTTGGATATTGACAATGATGGGATCGTTGGAATTAAGGAATACCGATACAACTGCATTACAAGGGTAGCTATTGATGATATTGCTCCCATTGATAAAGCGTTTGAGACTCTATTAAATGTAAGTATTTCTTTAACAAAATAATTCAAATGTATTTTATTTTTCTTCCTTTCATAAGGATGACGATAAAAAACGTGGAGGTCTTTCACTGGACCGTTACAAAGAGCTCTATGGCCAATTTCTTGGAAATACAGCTGATAATCACTCAGCAGTAAATCTGTTTGGGCCTTTATAACTATATAAATTATTATTGTCTTCGCTGTTGTTCAACTACTAATTTTTTTTTAAGATTAACGTGTAATTACTATGACTATGCTTAGCTAGGTTAAATGCATTCAAATCATTTGTGTAGAATCGTCAGATGAACAGTTCGTTATCTCTAAAGGTTTTTATAGTTAGAATAGATATTTGCTCTCCGAAGTTAACTCAGCATAACTTTTAATTTTCTCTCAGATGAAAGCTACTGAAAATATTTCTCTCTCATAAAAATATAATGTTTAATCAAATTGTTATGATGTTATGTTTATTACAATAAAATATGTTTGTGTAAAACCGAATAAACAGACATTAGAAAAATTTAAGTCGACAATTTTAAATCTTAAAATAGATAAATGTGTGGTATTCGTCGTGCTAACTTTCATTAAAGAAAGTTCTCAGTGAGAGTGTATGGTCGTTTTTATTTTTCTGCTCAGCAAATTTGCCTGATTTTTATGATTTATCGTTTTTATTAAATTGTTCACACAACTGCGGTCGGTTTGTTTAAGGTTTGTGCAAGGTTTGAGCCGTGGTTTGCTGTGTCTCTTTTAAAATTTCTTCTTAATTTGTTGAAGTTTTGTGCGGCGTCGTATTTGCATTTATTTTTCACTTTGCTATAGTTTTCTATTTTCTGACGCTCTCCCTGTTTTTACTCTTTACAAGTTAGGTAGTGTAAGTGTAAGCACACTTGCTCTCTCGATTTCGGTCGTCGTGCTGTGTAAATAACTCTCTGTGTTTCTTTCGTTACGCTCTGTAACGGCTGTTTGTTGTTGACTATCCCTCGTTCTGCTCTTCAACGGGTGATTGTTGTTGGACTCGCTCTGTCAACATATTTTCTAATTTGATCTCAATTGCCAATATGAGCTGCTGCAAAAAATCTTGCACGTTCAGGCAGTCAGTGGATTCTGCACAAGCGCAATTTGTCAATTTCTGGTTGTGCGATAATATGATGCATATTAAATGTGCAGGTCTCACTGGTCGTGATTATGACAAGATTATGTCCACGGCAAAAATTGGGGGTGTTCGCTGGTCTTGTCCGAATTGTTTAGAAAAACAGATATAATAAGGGCTAAGTTTTTAAAACTGAAAAAGCAGTTATCCAGTGATATGGCTGCTGCTGATGAAATATTAACCCAGTATAATTTCCCCCTTCTCACTTGGAATCTTCAACGTTGTTGGTACCTCCCTCTGTACCAACACCGTCACCTAATTTGCTTGCCCCTTCTCAACTTGCGCTTCAGTTTTGTCATCCGCTCCTAATTCACTTGATCCCATGTCACCTGTTCCTGAATATATTGGTTCTTCTGTCGAGGCTATTGAACCTCAGGTCTCTGTTCAAAAATTGGAATCTTCTCCAATTGTTGTTCAAGCCATGAGTGTCAATAATTAGCCACTTCCTACATTTCCTTATCTGTCGTCTCTTCTCGAAAGCAAGTTTTCTTATCTAGGCTTTCATCTGATACGACCTGTGAGACAGTATCTGCTTTTATTGCAGGCAAGACTTCGGCTAATTGTTTTTTTAATGAAGTGTAGTTTCGCAACTCCGCGTGAAATTGCCTCTTTCAAGATAAAGTGCCGGTAGAAATTTTTAAAACTTTATGTGATCCAAACTTTTGGTCACCTCATGTAATTGTTCATGAATTTAGACCTTCAGTGCAATCTTCATCAAACATTGTACCAAAAAAACTATTAATTGCGGTTAAATCCAGTATCCTCCCCGATGTGTTTACCTTTTCGTCCCTTCATGAAGCGCAGATTTTAGGGGTTAAATTAACTCTGTCATCATGCTTGTTTATCACATGTTCTTATATCCCTCCCTCTTCTGATTTACAAGTTTATGCTCAATATTTTAATTGAATTAAAGAAGTTTATGAACATGTGAATAATAGAGACTTGCTTTAACACTTCTTGGTCAGCAACTTGTAACGCAAATTACTTTATTGGTACTGGTCTATTTTATATGTGTCGATTGATACTAATTTGGCAGCATCGTATGTGCGTACATTTTTATATTTTTATACCCTGAATCCATTGAAAATGGGAAATGTAACAGGCAGAAGCAGACGTGGCAGACCCCACAATATATATATTCTTGATCAGGGCGATGAGCTTAGACTATTTAGCCCTGTCTGTCTGTCCGATCGTCCGTCCGACCGTCTGTCCGTATGGTTGAACGCGTCAATCTCAGAAGATATAAGAGCTAGAGGCTTGAATTTTTTTAGAATGTCTGTATATTCAGCGCGGATATCGGGCTTATCTCAAAATATCGATAACTTATCCCGTTATTTTTATCGATTTCAAACCCTATCATAAATCATAAAAAATATGTATATATTATATATGTATATATTATATCTATGTATATATTGTATATAGTAATACTAGCTGGCCCGGCAAACGTTGCATTGCCCTATCCATTATTTCTAGGTAAAAAATTGTTGAAAGCTATGTTGTTCAGGTTGGGATACACTCTGATTAATTTATTAATCGGATTTTCATTCAAGCACCTTGTGGTAAACAACATTCTTTGTTTTTTGGTCAGGTGCAAGAACAAATAATGCGGATGGTTTGCCAA